AAAGTGGTAATAAAACGGCTGCACTTCGGATGCCATCGCAATTGTTCGAGTTCGAACCAGAACTGACCTCCATCGATCCAAAGGCTATAGTTTGTGGAACACATAATTATTTATTTACGAGTGTGTTCATTCATTGATGAACACAAACGCTGTTTATATTGCTCTTTTGCCTTTCGACCCGATGCGAAAATGTGAGGGTTCAGGCCGGGTTCACCTTCGAGTGCGGTGCTCTTTCGCTCCTGTTCTTTGTTGCCAGGTGTAATAATAGGCGCTGACGTTGCCAAAGCTTGGAAAATAGAAACGAAAGCATTCTGAATAGCCACAATATAATACAATTGTGTATATATCTATGCAGGAATTATAAGGTATCTGAAAAGGGAATTTAATGGTTTTATCCTTAAGGATTATTAATTACACAGGAAATCTTTTTAACTTCTTTTAGACCGTCAATTTCATAGTCCTAGTTTTGTACCTTAAGATTTAAATCAGTAAAGGACCCACTTCCGCGACAAAAGCTTAATAGCGGAACACCAAGGGTCCTATATATAGAACTGAATGCATAATGCACACCATTTTGCAGGCATTAATCTGACAGGAGAGAGCCTTGAAGGACCCTCGGCTAAGGCAGCCCCAGACATATCCATTATTGAAAACGGAAAGCCAACAGCCTGTGGGTGCGTTGTACACAATGCTATTATAATTATAGCGATATGGATTAAGGCAGCCACCACCTCTACCTCTGAAGGTACTGAAGGATTAACTAGGGGTTGGTTGGGATAGGAACAGAGCAGTAAATGTACCTCCCTTTAATTAAGACTATAAAGTACCTTTTAGTTTGGCTAAACCTGAATACCAATTAATAGTTTTATAGGATAAGGAATTAGGATTGACTTCTCATTTCCCCCTGAAACATTATGCTTTATTTTTATTTTCCTATTTTCCAAGTATAGTAAATGTGTAGTATACCCATCTTTGTTTTAAGAGCACCCCGTATAAGTAATAATAATTTTCCAGGCAGTGCTGCAGTTGATCGTTGGTGGAAGGTGAATAGAAAAAACCCGAGTCTGGCTGTTGAGAAGGAAACGATTTACATAAGTTATTATGGCAAACCGCACACAAGTGTGTCAGCTCACGTGGGGATATGTCCGAAACTTGCACGAATGGTAATGGGAAATGTCAGAAAATTGTATTTCACACACAGGCCATCATTCCGGGCTCTAATATACCGTTTATATTCCCCTCTGGTAAGCCGCATAATCAGCGCTAATGGACATGTTGAGGTATTTGCAGGAAGGCCAAAGCTGCACTTTAGTTGGCGGAGAGCAAAGTCAAAGTACACCTAACAGGTGCTCAGATTTTTCTTGTTACCTTTTTCCTTCGGCTCCCATTTTCTTGTGCCGGAAAAATTGTGTTAAACGTGCGAAAAAACAAGTAATTTGCCATTACTCAGTTGCAGAGGCTTGCCCTTGATTTTCTCCCAATTTTTCTCAAACTTATTGAGGCATTTCTTTGTTGCTGCTTTCATGTTTATTTATTTTTTTCTTTTTGTTGCCAGGGTCTTCCGCCACTTAGATATAATGAGAAAGTCTTCGGGGCGGAAACCCCTTTTTTGGAGAAAAAAGGTAAACAATAGCCCCCCCAAAATTCGGCTTAATTGAACATTTTCCCCGTGTTGTTCCGTAAAAAATCTTATGCGCATTTTCCAAATCATTTCCAGTGAATGTTCAACGAGAATTTTCGTGTGCGCTAATGAAGCCAAAGTGGATTTTCACGGATCCTCTCAAGTAGCCCGAACTCTGACCTTTATGAGCAATGTTGGCCGGAATCGTTATATTTGTCACAGAATGCGGACAATTTCATCTGTTAACGAGTGCCAACAAATTGCGAAGTCGTTTTGACATACAACTTGGTACACCGGAACGTGTGGCCATTAAAATCACGAATTCCATTGCCATTCGGAGGGGCAATTAAATATTCCCGGCCTGGACCCTGCCTTAAAGGCCGGATTAGGCCATAAAATTGTTGTATTTAAGGAGCCATAAATCTTGATCTCGCTATGCTCAGTCGTCAACGTTCGCAAAACAAAAGCGTAATTTCCGCCAACTTATTAAATATTTCCCATAAAAAAAGGGTTCCGCCGAAAAAGGTATTCGGTGTCGCAAAGCCTTTAAGCCCAAGACCCAAACGAAACTCTTCAAGAATGCAGCATGAATGTGGGGTTTTGGTAAATAATTGGCTGAAGAAATATGGGATACTCTTCTAAAGGGTTTAAAAATAAGAAATAATAAAATATAAATATCACACAAGTTTAGGTAACTAGTAAAGATTTGAAATATTTTTATATCCTTGCAGGGTATTCAAATTTCAGTCAGAAGCATGAAATGCAGTGAATGAGTCATTTCCGACCCCATAAATCATATATATTCTTGATCAGCTTTAACAGGCGAAACTTTCTAGGCATCTCCGGCAGAAAAAATCTTTTTTTCAAAATTTTTCAATTTTTTCAACAAAAAAAATTAAGAGGTTGCATCGTGAAAATTGTCAAAATTTTTAAATGTTTTAAATTTTATACAAAGTATGCAGATTTATTAACCTAGCAAAAACTAACATAGGACCGTTTTCCGAATTGAAATTAATGCATTTTTGGCCTAATTATGAAATTTTTAAACTTTCCTTTGTCGAAAAAATATTTATAAGTACCAAATATTTAAAGCTTAGTTATGGTTGAATTCAGATTCGATATTTTAATTGCGTTACTAAATTTTCTTTTTAACTGGAACTACTTATTTGTATAAATTTTAGACTTTTCCCCTTAACACACATGGCGTATACTTAATTTAGGGGTTTTCACGTTAAGTATACGCCATGTATGCCAGATTTATTTGAAATCGAAAACTTGTCTTATACCCTTGCAGGGTATAATAATTTCAATCAGAAGCTTGTAACAATGTGAGGAGTCATTTCCGACCCCATAAATCATATATATTCTTAATCAGCATTAACAGGCGAATCTTTCTAGGCATATCCGGCAAAAAAAAAATTTCAATTTTTTTTAAATTTTTTCAATAAAAAAAGAGATTAAAAATTGGAAAAAAAATTATTTTTTTTTAATTGTAAGCTGAGTATGCAGATTTGTTAACCTAATTAAAACTAACATGGGACAGCTTTCCGAATTGAAATTAGTGCCTTTTGGCTTAGTTATGAGTTTTTTAAACTTTGATTTGTCGGGAAATTTGTCATGTGAAATATCAATGCAAAGAATGCGAATATTTTAATTAAATTAATGATAAATTAGCTATTCGATCCTTTAAGTTTACATATTTTATAATTTAATTGCAAACTGCAAGGCTAAATAAGCTTTGGCAAATATACATAAATCAACAAATTGAGTGACTTATTACAAATAATTTTGATTACAAATCTAATTTTAAGCAACCATAAAGTACACAGAACCTATCCAAACCCCATAAATTTCAAATTTAAATCCATCAGCAAGTCTAAAGCGTTAACAGAGTATAGTACAATCTAGCATATTAAGTTACACATATGCTTGCCTCTTCGTGGATTTGTGTACAATCGAATTTCTTACAAAATAAGGATCTTGGAGTGAATGTGCGGCATGCATAATAACCCTCAAGCATTGGGGAACAAAAACCCTTAACCGCCGGAGCTTGCTAAACCGTTTATAACCGATTTCAGGTAGGGAATCCGGGCAGGACGACCAGGACGTGCAGGCATCCGTGACACAGTAAAAAAACCGAAGGCACACTGGGCACCGTCATGAGCCATGAGCCATGGGCCAAGGGGCCATGGGCCGGGCCAAGTGGTTGGGACTACGTGGCATTATAAAGGCAACAGCCACGGCCACTTGCGCACGTCGCAGTCAGCTGAGCAGGGTGGCATGGAGGCAGGCCGAAAGCTTATAAAAAATTAAAATGTTTACGCTACATTAAATGCAAAGGAGGCATTGCCTGCGAATTATGATTTTGCGAGTGCCAAACGAACGCACTCGCACTCGCACTCGCACTTTCATGCTCTCAAGCCACCTTATGGCACCTCAGGGAGTGAGTGCGAACAACATGGCGTATGAGCAATGCATGAACTACACGGCGTATGAGCAACATATGAGGAACTGCCTGCGAACTACACGGCGTATGAGCAATGAGCCAACTAAGACAATTTGCACAAGCCGTCGCAAAATGCAAATGTTTTTTATTTGATGAGCACAATTGTATACTTTCGGAGGGTTTCCATCACGGCTGTTAATTTTCACCCAAAACGAGAGCTTAAAGTGGTATTTTATTTTCAAAACGATAACTGGTTAAAATGCAACAAGAAAAACATATTTTTTACTGCAGCTATGAAGAGTAAATATTAATGCTTTGAAATACCTAAAGTAATGTTAAATTTCACTACCAAAATACAACTGATGGGCAATTAATTGGCTTCCAAACGAAATCATTCAGGTGTAAGATTAATTTATTGCTCGACAAACAACAAAAGCTAATGTCTTTGTTACAAATACTAATATATTTACATAACAAAAGTCAGCCGAATACCGTTTTCAAGGTATTTTGTTTCATAAAAATGGGCCTCATTATTAGGTTTATTAGGGTAGTAAACCCTTCGTTTAACTGGGTTCTTAAAGGAACCAGCTGGTTGTAGGTGATGTTTTCCTTTAAAAAGTTACAGCCCTTAAATACCGCCATCTAGAAGCGAATTCTCTGGCTTTAAAGCATTTTTATGTTTATATTAAAAGTAAAAATCGTCAACCATTAAAGGAGCTTAAAACACTTGCGAACTAAAAATCTTTTGGAAATAATTCCATGTTATTTTATTTAGTTTACAGAATTTAACTTTCGTTCTTTAAGATATTTTAAAGCTACCTCTTAAACTATATTCCACCAACTACCTGGCTATAACTAAACCTAAACTCTAGCAATAAAAAGACAAAGAAAATTTGCACATTCTTCATCCACAAAAAAATGCAAATGCTTTTATTAGAGACGAACAACTTTATACTTCCACATAACTTCCATGACGAACGGATGCCGGCTTTTCGACATTTTCACTCGCGTTGTGAGCTGAAAGCGTCCTGCTGGATGGAAGCCGGGAATGGGAACTATGTCCTTGTACTGGAGGTAGTAAACCTTCGGCTTAATGGGGCACTTGAAGAAGCTGTCATTGACCACCAGGCTTTTGTAGGTGGCAGCAAACACCTGGCTCATCAGCGGATTGTTCAGAAATGCGCAGCCATTTATATTTTCCGTCTTGTACAAAACTTTATGGGTTTTCTGCACTTTCATGGTTATGTCGATGGTAAAAGCAGCTGCCAATTTGACAACACGAAAATGGTAGAGGAAGTCGGAGTTTGGAACCTTTTTGAAATACTCCACATAGTCGTGGTCGCAGCTCGTTTGAAACGATTCCACTATAATCCGGGTATTGCCCTTGTTGACAATTTGCGGCTGTCCGAATTGAGAATAGTTAACAAACAATTTACCAGGGAAAACTGATTACCTCATCAGCTGCTTCCAGGAGGAGAAAGCAAAAGAGCCACTGGAAAATAAGGCATCCAACTACTAGAGCCATGGGACAAGTACTAACTATAGGCTTTGAATTTTTCATCATTTTATGAGCAATTAATTGACCCTAATCGAAGCTATTCAGGTGGATTATTATACAGTAGCACAAATAAAACTGTCTACTAATTAAGTTTTTTTAACAAACAAAAATGGAACTAATTACAGAATTTTATTTAAATGCGTAGAAGATATTAAAGATTTTATTTAATTTTCACAACACTATAAATCCATAGCATTTCCATAACAAACGGACCCGGACTTTCGTGCATTTTGACCCGCATGGTCACCTGATACTTTCCCGGTGGATGAAAACTGGGCAACATTTCCACAGATCCCTCATTCCTCAGATAATACACATCCGGCTTTATGGGACAGTTAAAGAATGTACCATTCACGATCAGTTTCTTGTAAACAGAACCAAAAACGCGATTCATGAGGGGATTGGTAAGGAAGTAGCAGCCATCCAAGTTGTCCACTTTGTACATCACTCTTTTGGTTTTTAAAACCCTGACAGCAATGTCAATGGTGAACTTAGATGCCAATTTGACAACTCGAAATGTATATAGGTTTAAGGAGTTGGGAACTTTACGAAAATAATCCACATAATTGTGATCGCAACTAGTGATCAGATCTTCCATGACAAAGTTAGAGCCTCCACGCCTAAAAACTTGACGTTTCTGTTGAAGATTCGAGGAATTAATCCAAGGATCTTTGATTTAATTGATTAATAAAATTGTGAAACTATTACCTCCATATTCGCAGCTGTCACAAGACCTGCCAGCCAGACTACAATCCACATCCATCTACCAAAATTAGGGAACATTTTTCGACTGAACCACCGACATTATATTGCCCTCTGTTTTTGGTTAAAACCTATTGATGAGCTTTTAATTGTTCACTTTAGTTACTAATTAATGGGACACGTGTTTGGTATTAGTAAGTAATTATTCCATTGGTAGTTTTCCCGAAGAGAAGTTGGTCTATTTCGATTAAAGTCAGATAATTATAAACTTTACTTAAAATACGTATAATAATTTAATAAATTCATGTTCTTATAACTCTATATCGCCAGATGAGCTCCAAAGCAATGGGTCCCTTTGGTTCCACCTTTATTCTGGAGCTTAGACGGAAAGTGCCAGAGGGATGAAATGCTGGAACCAAATTACTTCTGAACCTGTTTCTCAGATAGTAAATACCCGGTTGAATAGGACACTTGAAAACCGTGGAATTACCCACAAACCCTTCATATAAAACCGAAAAAATCTTGGAAATCGACCGATTATTTAAAAAACTACAAATGGAGAAGTTTCTCAGATTGTAAACCGCTCGTTTTGTTTCCTCATTGTCGACACGACTGTCCAAAAACACAGTTTTCACCAATTTTGTGCAATTTATCAAAACTCTTTGGGTTTCCCCGGGAGCCAAACCAAAATAATCCACATAAACTCTACTATAATTCAATTCAGAGCTCAATAGAAATGCCTTCATTGTGTGACCTGTATCCTGTAAATATTATTACTTATTTAAATTTTGTGAATAGATATATTAGTTCTTCAGCATACCTTCTCCTTTGCCTTGATTCCCATGGAAATAAAGCAAAGGCTCAACAATATAAAAGAAATACGTCCGACAATCATTGAACTATAACTAAATTAACTGATTTTGAGCTGAATTAAACTTGGATGGCCTTAAAAACAAACCAGAAAATATTACAACAATTAGATGATTAAAAACTCATCAAGATTATCGCATCCATTTTATTAAAGCGCTGAAATTGCAACTTTGTTCCGCTGGGTTTCTGTTTTAGTGGTCAAAGCAAACAAAAGCTGAATCAAATTATTCGCGCCCTTCGTTTGCTTGGACTTTACTTTTATTTTTACATTTTTTTCCTGTCACTGAATTGGCACTCAAACCGAATTGAAAGAGCTGCGGATATTGATTGGTTTTTAGGGGTCTCTCCACGGATTTTCCCCGTGACATAGGGAACAGGTGGAGGTTAGAACAATGACATTGCCAAGCATTGTGACAGATTCCATGCTTTGATTATTCATAGAGTTATGTGAGTTTAATTCAATATTAAAGTGAGTAGAATATTTGAGTCGGATCTATATTTAATTTAAGGAAGAATAAATAAGTAGTTTTAGGTTTATTTTAGACTTTCCCAGAATAGCTTAACCTAGTTTTTCCTTATCTTAAAACTGATGAAACTTTCCCACAACCTGCTTGACCTTTTAAAATATTTCCCCAATCGCTTGGCCCCTCATGTCTTGGACTTCGATTAGCTAACGAGCTTTAAACCCTCGACGGAATAATTGAGGACACACCAGACAGGACATAAGCATTAGCCCCTCCCCCCTCCTGAAGGTATTAAAAAATCAATTAATCGATCGCCAGGTCAGTGGCGTTACGCAAGTGGGAAATCGTTTTGCCAAATGCAGTTGGCGAGTGTAATTAAGATTCTATTCTGGGACCCGCTGGCGGGTGATGGTAAGTGCTGATATTGACACTCTGGTGACACGGGGCGTATACGCAATATGCGGTTGGCAGGTGGCAAATGGTGGAATTCACTTACCTTTCGCCATCATCGTTGAATGAGAAATCGCCGAGGAGTAGATCTCGGAAACGATACCGTGGCTGTATAATGCGCGACATGTTGCTGTTGCTGTTGCTGGTGTTGCTGTTGCTACTGTTGCAGGTGTTGCTGTTGTTGATGTTGCTGCCGTTAATATTGCTACTGTTGCTGTTGCAGATGTTGCTGGTGGTGTTGCTGCTGCCTGAGATGTGGCTGGTCGTAATGGTTGGCACTCTTAGCTCAGTGATGGTTCTTGCCACTGCCGCCTCTGCACCTGTTCCGTCACTAATTTGTATATCACTAAAGTCCGTCACATTAATTAAGCACTCTTCGGCAGCGGCTGCGTAGCCCCGTCGTCCCAGCTGATGATGCTCCCCCTGCTGCTCCTGCTGGAGATGCCGTCGTCCTGCGGCGAACTCATCCTCGCGCGGCGCACTGGTGCCCGTTAGCAGGTAGCCGCCAGTGGCCCGATTGGGCCGCGGCGAACGGAGGCGCGTCCACAGATTGGCGAGTGTCCTGCCAGCCGAACAATGCCTTATTTTCCGTTTCTATCCCTCAGAGGTTCTCCGTTCGGCACGGTGGTCACCTCTTCGGCCCGCCTCGAGGACCCTCCGCGGAGCCCCGTGCTGACGGTTCCTTAATTAAACCGATGGCACCGCTGAATTTATTAGCATTCCACGACAGGTGCGTGCTCGATTATTGATCTCCGTTCGGACATGGCGCTCCGCTCTGAAAATATGCAACACAAAAAAAATGAAATACGGTAAATCAATAAAGGTGGTCAGCATAAAGAAGCAATTTATATATTGATGTACTTGAATCTTGGGCGAAAAACAAATTGAATTTCCTTTTACTGAGTATTCTGTAGAGCTTTTCCTTAACAAATAAAAGTAGTTATATTTCTTACTGGTAAAACAAAGTGATTGATTATACAAATACTTATTTCTGATTAGGTATTTATTAACCTTTAAATATAAGGCTTGTTTTGCAAAGAAAATCTTCCACCTAACTGCTTCTTATGCTTAACTTTGAACTTCCTAAATGCTTTAAGAAACTCATCCTTATAACCTTTTCAGAATTATCTAACCTATTTTATATAAAATTTCAATTCAACCGCATTGCTTTGGCTTTTGAAAAAACCTTTCCAGCTTGACACATAAATCCCCGCTGTCGGCAATCCAATTCACGTCAAAGAGCAACAAATTCAATTCAAACAACACACGCAAACAAGTGCCAAGGACGAGCAAACAAACAAACAAAACAAAGAAACAAACAGACAGTTAGACACATGAGTGAGGTAGGTACAAAGCCCTATATAGACTGTATACTATATAGGAGATGCTTCAGTTTTGGGCCCGTGTGCGGGCTTATTATTTACTGGCAGCCAAATCAAATCATCTCTTAGACAGACAAAGCACACAGAGCGCAGATTGCTGGCACTTGAAGGCTCTCCAAGTGCCGCCACCCCCACTTGTTGTTGTCTGTTTGTGAAAAATTTACGCAATTATTGCCGCCAGGCTAAAATGACGCAAGGACAATCCAGGACCAGCCAGGTGTGCCGGTGTGCGCGCTAAGCAAATAAATTTTCCTCACTTTCTCCTCTGCGCATTAATTAGATTTGCTTCGCCGTGCATCTCTGTCTCTGCCAGAGCATTGGCATATTTATGCGACTGTGGAATATTTCACTTTAAAGTGTTTTTTAATTAGTTACAGCAAATTAGCGTCGGCGAAATTAACAAATTTGTACACAGCATCTGTCTCTATTTTCTGAATCTCATTTCTCCTCCTTATTCGGCCTGTGCGCTGCAAAATTAGTTTCTCGATTAGATTTATAGTTTTCTGTCGGCATTAAAGTTTTAGCCTGCACAAGCGTAAGGAACTCGTAAATTTTAGGACCAACGGGACATGTCCTGGGGGACATAAGGCGAGAATAAAGATTAAATTCAACACATATATTCTACCAAATTAATTATTAAAATGGACGACATTTGCATAATTCATAATTTAGACCTTGAAGAGGGTTAAAATAACAAGCCAATCGATAAGTAACGAATTGATTAAACAATGCGAAACATTTATTTGTATAGCTATTGGCATAATATTAACATATAAATTATGAAAACATTATGCAAAACTTGCAAAATTGTATTGTTTGTTAGCTTATGCTTCCGTACAAGCAAGCATATATTAAAATTTACAATGATTTATTTTTCATAACCAAAGCCCTTATTTAATTTAATTTAATTTAATTTAATTTCCACACAAGCTAACCTCGTCGATTATTGATTCCCTCGGCTTTGGGCTCGTTAGTTTAGCAATTTATTTCGTGGTTTCTAGGCGATTTCCTGTCCCGTGCCAAAACCCATTTAATTTCTAATCATTATTTATGGGAATACCGCCACATTAAATGAGGTTGCCCATTGTTATTTCTATCCTTGGGAAAGATATACTTGCCCAAACCCCCCGAAAAATCGACAGGAGCATAATGTCTTAATTATGTTTTTGCCGAGCGCACACAAAAACGATTTGCCGGCCCACGCATAGATGATATTTTTTGGTTTTTGTGATTTATAGACTCCTCTTAGGGGCCTACGAGAAGTGCGAGAAGAGGATCTCCGAGCGGACAGATAACAAATTATTGTTTTCCATGCACAGCGATGGCGGGACGAAGGAAGCCTTCCATTATTTTCCAAAAAAGAAAAGCCCCACTTTGCGTGTCATGAAGGGGTGAGAAGGGGTGAAGAGTTGGACCTATATTTTCTATACCTTTATATATCTGCGTGTGTGCGTATCTGTCTGAGTGTATGTGTGTGTGGGTGTACTCATCAACAATAATTGCCCAGACCGGTGCTCCCTAAGCCTTTCGCACTCGCGTGTCTCGTTCAGTTGGCCCCAACCTTTTGTTAATACACTTGGAAAATATTTATAACAATAATATGATTAAAGATAAATAAATATTTTTTAAAATTTTTAAGGTACACTTGAACAATAAATAAAGAAATATTTTAAAAAGTTTAGAAGGTTTCCATTATTCTGTGATGATTAGAGATCCCTAAACAACGGAATTAAAAAGTTTGTAATAAATAATTAATTCCCCAAATTGTGCCACATACTTTTTTATTTTAATTGTATTAACAAAATTATTTAATAATATGCATAATATAAAATAAATAACAAAGAAAAAACTAAAAATCTGATATTCGCAAAAGTTAAAAAAAATAAAGCATACCTTTTGGCGTCTCACTCCCCAACAGCAAGGAGGACAATTTAAATCTACTACTAACTCACGGATGGAGTAGAAATTTGACTTGAATATAGTTCAATTAATTCATTACTAATTTCTTGATTAATTTCTTTAGGTGCACTTTCCACTTTCCCATCATCAACACTGTTTGCCAGAGAGGGGAAAAGGACTTTCTTGCCGTCTTTGTTTTTCTTAGCCTTTATTATTCTTTGGCCTACACAATGTCCCGCAAGAAGTCGTCGCCAGTTTGTCTTTGTTTTTTTGTCCCTTCTTGTTGTTGTTCTTTGTTGCTTATTGTTGTTGTTGTTGCTATCTTGTTGATGTTGTTGCTGTTGCTGCACAAGTATTAACTAAAGGACCCCGAAGCTGCTAAACAAGCCGCATCCGCGGTGGGGTCCTTCCCTTTTGCTTCCGCCTCCGCCTACCACTTGTTATTATTATTTTCGTTGCTTTATATATTCCTCTTTTTTTTGTGACACTTGGAATATTTTATAACAAAAACTTGACCCGCTTTTCCGCGAAGGAAATCCGCATTTCCTGCTCCCGTACACCTGCTCATCATCAGTCGACTGCTGACTTATTGTTTTTTGCTTTTGTTTTTACCATTGTCCTGCCCGTCACTCGCACACACTCATACACACATATATACATATATAGTACATACTCCTCCTCTTCAGCGCCTTAATCCTGGTTTTTATCCCGGCTTCCCTTTTCTTTTCTCAGCTGCACAGCGTCGCTTAATTAAAATTAACATTTCATGAAGAGCTGCTGGTTGCGCCAAAAAAAGTAAAATGAAGAAATAAAGAACCAAAGTTGAGCAGGGTGCAAATGGCGCTTTGCAAAAATAAAATATATAAAAGTTTGCTTAATCGTTTTATAAATGTTTAAGGCTTATGGCAGTCTGATCTGTCTCGTCGTCTCGCTCGCTCATCCGATTCTAAGGGCTTTTTTTCGGGGGAGTCCCCTTGCTGACTTTCAATTTTACATTACAATTTGAAAGCGACCTTGTTGTTTTTGTTGTTTTGTGTCACATTTTTGTCGCCCTTAAATGATTTTGGGATAAGCTGTTAATTATATTTGAGTGGATTTTTTCATTAAACATTTACTCCAGTAAATGTGGAGTTGCTTTTAAAGGGAATTTAATATTGTTTATAATCGGGAATAAGATTGCCTTAGAAAAGGTAAGTAAGGAAAAAGTAAGAAAAATTCTTATAATTATTACTTGTTGAAATACAACTATTGTAAATAAAAGTGCAATTTAATATTAAAAATAAATTTGAAATGTAAAGTAATATATTAAATACGTTCGAATATGTTTAAAAGGCTTTATGATCTCTGAAATACCCTATTCAATTTTATTTTAATTTTTAAATAGAAAAGTATAGTTTAATCTTAAATTTTTGGCTAAATAAAATCGTTTTATATTTCCTAAAGTTAAATAATATAATTTTCTGCAGTGTCTTACTGTACAAGTCTCCCTGTTTATTGTAGCTTTACTTTAATCTTCCAGCTTTATTTACAAAGGGCATGCTAAGCTCTCCTTAATTCCTTGTAAAACAATTATGTTCCATTTTCAATATATAATTGCTCTGCAGTAATTCATTTTATTATTGCCAGTGAAAGGCAAACGATATGAAAAAACAAACTACTGTGGTCATTAACCCTTTTTTGCCTCTTTTATGATGATTTCCTTTGTTTTATTTGGGGATGATATATAATGTTTACACAACCCTTTTATTACCTGCTGCATTAATTATAACGAGCCTGCTTAAATATAAGACCAAACATTACTTGAAACACACACGCGACATGACAACAGGCATAGGTGAGAAATATACACACTCTCCTGTATCACATATATTCCAGTTTACTTTTTGTTTTACTTTAATATATACATATATATATAGATATGTATTTTTTTGGTGACACTCGTAATTGAATGCATTATTCAATGGCCACCGAGGGACCACTTTTTTGCGTACCGTTTTTTATGACGCCTTAACACCTTGATGGCCAGCGGGAACGGCCTGAGGGGCTTAAAGCTGCTCCTGCTGCTGGTGGCGATGTAAATGTCTTGGCATATTTTATGAGGACATTTCGCAATCGCAACTTTTCGAAGAAAAAGAAGGAGGAGCCGCAAACTTTACTGCATTTACCGCCTCAGCTGGACACGGCCAGAAACTTTTCTCACTCTTTTTTTTTGCACGCCAGTTAACAACACGATCAGATCACTTTATGCCATTGACTTCGTAGGGGATAACATGTTGTTGTTGTTGTTGTGGGATGATTTGTTCCCTTCTTCTTCCCCGAATTCACATGTTTTGTTTGGATTAGTTGGCGCAAACACAAAGACACACACACGCACACAAAACACTCGCGAAGGAACAAACAAACAAGTGGCAAAAAGTTTCTTCTTTTTTTTCGCTTTGGGGTCGAAAGTTTTCCCACACCTCGACAAAAGCCAGGTGAGGTGTGCAGCCAAGCCGCTGCCTAAGCAGGTGTTCCAGAACCACAAAATATAACTAAAAACACAAAAAAACCGAGCTTATAACGCCGCTTTTACAGTTATTTTCTCACAGCTCGACAACCGCACGCGCGCATCGCTAAATTTGAACTGAAAGCAAAGCGCCAAAACCGAAAGGAAATAAGGCAAAAGCGAGAGCGAAGGCGAAGGTTGGGGGATGGAGGAAAAGTAATACGGGGGGGCAAAGAGGAGAGGAGCTAAATACGCCGCGTGGGCGACTCTTATCAAAATCAGCTGTGAGCAAAAGCTAGCATTAGCTTTCACGACGAAAGCTTTGGGTACAGTCAGGGGTGAGGAAATGGGGAACATATTTGGCATTTATTAATTATATTAAAATGTATATTTATTAAATTAAAAGGTGTTTCTATTTATATATAATAAATCAGAAGTTTGCAACCCAGTGAAGGAGCCACTATGTAAAATTTTTCTTAGAACTAATTATCTTAGGTATGACATAATTAAAAATATGTAACAATAAAAGTATGGAACAACTTCCTTAATAAACTTAAATTTTATATATTTAGGATATATACATATAATAACTAATACAACATTATTTCTTTGTTTTATATATTTTCTAATAATTTACTACACCTCCTTATAAATATTTTAATATTAATAAGTAGTTTTTAAAATTTATTCATAAACAAATTGGTGTTATTTTAATGCCGCATTTAGTTTCAACTCGATAACATACATATTCGATGCCATTTCAATGCATTGCTGTTCCATCTATTGCTGATCGAACCCGGTTCGCTCTTTGCTATTCGCTGTTTCCTCTATTTTGTTGTTCTACCCACTCTCTCTCCCTCCCTCTCTCCATACCTGTGTGGTTCACTTTCTGCCTGCTTCTCTTCCACTTGTTTACAACTTGCATGCGCTTGCTCTCGCTCTCACTCTGCCCCGCACACCTGCGATCTTCCATCCCACTTGGCCACAAATTCCGTTTTGTTAGTGACAAACAACAGAACAACAGAAGCAATGGAAAATTTCCAAAATCGGGTATAGAGGAATGAAAACAATTAGGTTTGCCTAGCAATCTCCTACAAATAACCTTCACAAACTTAGAACACTTTATTTTTCACCTGTATATGCCTTATTCTTAACTTATTTATATTCAATTATTGTCATATTATTGCATATTATTTGAGTTGATCTTCGGATGGCTGTCTGTTAGCTTCTGATCAAGAGCTCTGCCCATTTGACGAACGAAACCCACTGCTTTCTATTCGTGTAGCCGACAGAGGCCCGATCTTTGCTGGTAAGCAAATTCCTCGAGAGACCCACCCACACAGACTCACTATTTCCGCCGCTCTGCTCTCCTCTCGGAGGCTCGTTTCGTGTACGTGTACGGGAGAGGCGGCCGATCTATGGTAGTGTGTGTGAATGTCGGCCATGCGCCAACACCATCGAACTGTTCGTCGCTCTCTCGTGCTCACACTTTCTCTGTCGGCTCTCTGTTTATGTCGGCTTCGGGTTGACTCGGCAAAATGTCAACTGGAAAGTGTTCAGCTGCTGGAGCAAGTGCGTGGGGATAAATTCTAACTGAAATATTTGCTATTTTAAAGGGAGTTTAAGGAAACGTTAAAAATTTAAACTGATTCCACGCTAACCTTCTCGAAGCATTTCATCACAAAGTTCAGAGCTGGTTCATACCAGCTACCATATATAAAAATATAAAAATGAGCTCAGTCACCACGTGCTGTGTGTGAACATGAAGGTCTATTTACATACATATTTACATATATATTTTTACTTGAATATATACACAACATGTTTATATATACACCCGATAAGGCCGCTTTCGTTTCTCTTTCCCTCTCATTAGCACCGATCGTGGCAGCAGCGTATAAAAGCCAGAGAGATCGCTCATCAGTGACTCAGTGAGCAACAACCAAGCAAGCTAAACACAGCTAACTGCAAAGCAAAGAAAGCAAAACACCAAAAACCAGTTTTAACCAGACAATTTACACAATTCCAAAGTCAAGATGAGTGCCAAATCCCTTTTCGAAAGCGAGGAAGACTTCGCCCAGGAGCACAAGTTTGCCCGGAAGGCCAAGGAGTCCCCCTTTATGCTGGTGGGCATCGCTGGATTCCTGGCAGCCGGACTGGTGGGGGCGTACAAGTACCGTAATCGTGGATCGATGAGCACCAGTGTCTTCCTGATGCAACTCCGAGTGGCAGCCCAGGGAACGGTCGTTGGATGCCTAACAGCTGGCCTGGCCTATACCATGGCCAAGGAGTACCTGTTCGAGAAGGCGCCCACGGAGGAGCCAAAGCCAGTCCAGGACTAGGAAGTGAAGATCTCCAAAGAAGTCATCGCCAAATCATCTTGTGCCAAATACAAAGCCACCCACATTGGCCACCCTGTGTCGTTCATTATTGTTCATCCATGCAAATGTCGCAATGTCATCACCATTCTGCCTCGAAGTAGTATTATTTTAAAATAAAAGAAAATATTTTTAGTAAATTCAAAACAAATTTTAGAGATAATTTATTTAATTTTCCTTTCGTTGAGGGTTTATTATTGTCAGCAACGAGCAAAAACAAATATTTCTAAAGGTTTATTTAAAGTTTATTAAAAAATTTATTATTTATTTATTTATTAAAATATTAAAAAGTGTAGCAGATCATTAAAACGTTGTATCTTTGGTTTATCAAATTGTTTATAATATTTCGTGAATCTGTTTTAAATAACTGGTTATTATTTTCACTGACCAATTACATTTACGTAATACTTTATAACGATTCGTAGTCAGGAGATATCAACTTCAAAATTGCCGTTTATTATCAAACGAAAATCCTTAGATAATTCTAAAAAAGTAGTCACTAACAATGTAGACAAAACATATCAGAAATTATAAAATTTAGTATAATAAAACCATCGGTTGTAAATAATTAACTTTATTTATATAAATCATGTATCATATATACTTCAATACATTGAGCTATTATGTACAACATAATAATTTGTAACTTAAATGGTTTTGCAAAGTAAATAATATTATTTACACAATAAATCCTTACTTTTTATTTATTTATCTCAAGTTAACAATTAGTTATATACTCAGAAGTAACTTAGAGTTAAGAACCCTTACGGCACAGGCCTTTGGCTCTAACTACAAACTGAAAAATACAACCAAAATCTGTATACAGACATAATATGTAAGGAGAATCCATTAGTTTTAAAAATTTTCTTATTTATTTTGTTTACAGAAGACCTCCTTTCTATCTGTTAATGATATAAAACATTTGCTTGCTAGCTGTAAGTAACGACTGAAATTTGTAATCAAAAATCTTCTACAAAAATTTAACGATGCCAAGAATAGATTGATTTAGTTATTTTGGTACAAACATTTATTATAAATCCTGCATTGTATTGATAAACAACATGTATCTTTTATGGCACAACGGTAAGGGTTCAGGGAATACATATTAAAACGTATCAAATTAATGGAATGATTAATAGTTCTCTGTGGTGCGAACGTAGTTAACCCCTGAGGGCATGGAGACCTTGTCGAAGCCCTTGGGGAATAGTTTGTGGGCCTCTTCATCGGCGACGGTGGGTAGGATCATGACCTTGGTTCCAGGCTATATAAAAATCACATTTAGTAAGGAATCAATCAGATGAAGTTAATGGTAAACTTACAGTCCAGTTGGCGGGAGTGGCCACAACCTGGAGACGATCAGTCAGCTGCAGCGAGTCGATGGTCCTCAGGATCTCACTGTAGATAATAAGAGTCATGAGCAAGGAATAAGATATTTCAAAGAGAGAGATGCACTTACTCAACATTACGGCCCGTGGACATGGGGTAGAACATGGAGAGGCGCACCTTGTGGTCAGGGCTGATGATGAACAGCGCACGGATGGTCTTGCCCACCTCCGGGTCACGTTTCTGCTCCTCATCGAGCATGCCCAGTTTAACGGCCAGGTCCCTGGTGGGGTCGGCGATGATTGGATAGGGGAAGTCCCCGGGAATGTCCAGGCAGTAGCTCTTGATGTCGTTCACCCAGTCAACGTGGGAGTTGAGGGCGTCCACGGAGTGCGCCAGGCACTTGGTGTTCCGCTTGGCAAACTCCGGCTGGTGGACGGCGATCCTGCCCAGCTCGGTGGTGCACACCGGCGTAAAGTCAGCGGGGTGCGAGAAGAGCACCACCCACCTGCGGATCGGAGGAGAGGGATTGGATGAGCCCATAGGCATTAAGAGGGTTTCTATGAGGTCTACTTACTGGTTGCCCTGCCACTCGTGGAAGTTGATGGGACCCTTGGTGGTCTCGGCCTTGAAGTTAGGTACAGTCTGTCCCAAACGCATCTTGACGGATCTCTTGGAAGATTGGTACTTGGAAATAGCACTTGCTTTTTACTTTTTAGCTGTCAGCTGGCTGTGGTTAGCTCGCTCACTTGTTGCTTTCTGATTTCTGACTGAGCGAGGCACCGGTTTATATACCCGCCAAGATCGGGTCTCTGAGTGGGAGCAACAGAGACGGATGACGAGCGACGCCTTATCGCGCGTGTATGTATATATACTATATACTATACATACGACTATGGGGTGTGGAGATTAGATTAATAAACAATTCTGAACAGCAACTAAAGGGGAGCTACACGTTGTGAGGGGGAAGGAGAACACCTTGTGCAAGGTTCCCATAGTTGATTAGTTCAAAACTCGTGGCCTCTATGTAGTGGAACCAGATTGAGGTGACTTTGGACTTTGGTGGACTTTCTGATGAAATGCTTCTAGAAATTGTGTATGAAAAAGTACAGTTCTGCTTGTTCGATTTTCATTAAAATGACTTCTAATTAGACAATTTTAATGGGAGCTATCCCCCAAAAATCTGATCCGACAGCTGATCACTTCCCAGCTGATTCCTCGACCTAGGGCAACCCGAAGTTAACATAAACAGAGAGCCAGAGAGCATTAAAATTTACATTGGTATTGGTAATTGCGATAGAAACACAAACATAGGCAGAGCGACTTTTACACCGTCGGGGAAAATGAGAGCACGAGAGAGCGGCACAAGGTGTGATGGTGTTGGTGAGTGGCCGCCATTCACACACACTACCATAGATCGGCCGCCTCTCCCGTACACGTACACGAAACGAGCCTCCGAGAGGAGAGCAGAGCGGCGGAAATAGTGAGTCTGTGTGGGAGCTTCGCTCGGGGATTTGCACACTAGCAAAGATCGGGTTTCTGTCGGCTACATGGATAGGAGCATTGGGTGTTGGGTGTTCGGATAAGCAGAGTACTCAATCAGAAGCCAAAAGACAGTCTAAAGAAATAGAAGCCAAAATCAACATCCAATAAAATGTGTTCGTAATTGAATATTAAATCTTTGTAATTGATATTCCACTAATGTGACGTATGCCTAGTTTGTAAAGGTTATTTAAAGGAGCCACACCGAATTTCTATAGTTTCACAGTTTTGTTTTCTTGTGTGTTCTGTAGTGTTGTGTTGAAAGTACAGTTGCTGCATTTGCTGAACAATTTACGGTGCATTACAGAGTGAGGCGCAGAAAGACTCGATTTTGTGGTAATTTTCCATTCGCCGCTTGCTATTCCCATTTTGTTTGTCAACAACAACGGAAATTATAATCAAATGGAACAGAAGGTTGTTTTGGTGCGGGAAAGAGCGAGAGGGAGAGCCACGCGAAGGCAATCTGTGTCTGTATGGGTAGGAGAGGAGGAGAGCAAAAACAAGAAACATCGAAAAAGAGAGAGACTTTCTCAGAGAATAGGCAAAACACACAGAGCGAATCGGGTTTTCAGATCGATAGACATTCAGAGCTATAAAGGTATCGAATATTTCAAATGTTGGGCGCTATTTTGAATGGAAACTCCTCTGGGCTATATTATTTCTCATAACTTGAATATCAAATATAGAAGAGTTCCCTAAAAAGTCTCTCTAATTAATTTATATTGATAGCAATTTTGCTGTGAGATATTATTTTCAGTATTTACACATAAACATACATGTATCTTAACATATCTTGATTTATTTACAAATATTAAAATATATAAAGCGCTCATCCAAATTTAAGTACCAAAGTATAGGAACTTTCTATTGTTTAGTGCTTGACCTGTTGATAGATAGATTCGTAGATCTGCTTTCCCTACTAAGGCTAATTAGTTGCTAAAAAATAATAATAATAATAAATAATAATGCTAGTTGCACACAAAAATAAATCCATTAAAATACTTTATTTGATAATTTTTTTAATTTCTGAGAATCTTACAAACTACGAACAATATTAAATTATAAACTAGCTTTGAATTAAAATTAAGAATACAAGTATTTCGAAATAACCAGGTGCAGCACAGGGGGAATCTCTACTTGTTCAGTCTTCTGGCGGCCAAGATCTGGTAGATGCCAAGAACGGCGGACAGGGTTCCGATGGCTCCCATTTGGAATGTGGACAGCTTTCCGCCCCACAGGTTGCCCCTGGGCAGGGAACCGACGGCTTGGAGGAGATCGAGGGAGATGCGGGCGACGGACACCAAGTCCTGGCGGTTCAGTGCGTCCCGATGCAGGGAGAATCTTCGCAGGGTACGCACTAGGTTCAGGTGGGCAGAGAGTACGCAGAAGATGGAGTTGGCATAGTTCCAGGCATCCTTTCGCCTCAGATCTAAAACCTTGTGCTCCGCCAGCCAGCAGACCGTCTCGATGGGATAGAACAGCAGGTCGACCATGTTGGACATCACCCCCAGGACGGCCGTGAACCGATCCGGTTCACCCGCGCCCAGTCCGTACTCCAGGCTGTATTGGAGCACGGGCAGGTCATCGATCAGGCGGAGAGTGGCCCTCGCTCCCGAGATCTTTGAGCTGACGGTGGCGCATCTCTGGGCGAGATCGGGATTCCGGGTGGCCTGTAAGCCGGCCACCAACTTGGCACTGCAGCAGAGTGCCTCCATCAAGGTGTCCCGACCGCCGTAGGAGTCGATGAGACCGCAGATCTCACTAAAGAGGTTGATACTTCCGCCCATAATTGCTTGTTTAAGATCAGATGTTTACTAATGCGTTCTGTGAGGTTGAATCTTAAATTTGACTGGAAAATGGCAGGGGATGCTCTTTTATAGTTCAGCCCACATCGATAGCAGTGCCCTGCCTTCGATTGCACAGCAGTCTGTCTATCGATCTTACCCGATTCGCTCTCCGGAGACCTCTGCCCCTATACCTACCTATACCTATACCTTTCCCCTTTACCACCAACCTCTTAACCAAACCAAAACAATCTTCCATCCCGCTTGCCTACGAGTTCCCTTTTGTTATTACAAAAAACGCGATGGAAAATAACCAGAAAATACATACATATGTGTAATAAACTCAGATATTTTTGCGTTTTAGGTTTCAGTTTGTAACCAGCAAAGATTTTTCACCAACTGTACTTGTAACGCTAGTAAAAAATTGTGGGGAACAAAAAATAATGGGAAGTCTCTTTCAAACAACCTTCATATACTTTACACGTTTCACATTATCATTACAAAGATATTATATTATATTAGCACTACATTTCATCAGAAGTTGATTTTGGCTTCTATTTCTTTAGACTGTCTTTTGGCTTCTGATTGAGTACTCTGCTTATCCGAACACCCAACACCCAATGCTCCTATCCATGTAGCCGACAGAAACCCGATCTTTGCTAGTGTGCAAATCCCCGAGCGAAGCTCCCACACAGACTCACTATTTCCGCCGCTCTGCTCTCCTCTCGGAGGCTCGTTTCGTGTACGTGTACGGGAGAGGCGGCCGATCTATGGTAGTGTGTGTGAATGGCGGCCACTCACCAACACCATCACACCTTGTGCCGCTCTCTCGTGCTCGCATTTTCCCCGTCGGTGTGAAAGTCGCTCTGCCTGTGTTTGTTTTTCTATCGCAATTACCAATACCAATGTACATTTTAATGCTCTCTGTTTATGTTAGCTTCGGGTTGCCCTAGGTCGAGGAATCAGCTGGGAAGTGATCAGCTGTCGGATCAGATTTTTGGGGGATAGCTCCCATTAAAATTGTCTAATTAGAAGTCATTTTAATGAAAATCGAACAAGCAGAACTGTACTTTTTCATACACAATTTCTAGAAGCATTTCATCAGAAAGTCCACCAAAGTCCAAAGTCACCTCAATCTGGTTCCACTACATAGAGGCCACGAGTTTTGAACAAATCAACTATGGGAACCTTGCACAAGGTGTTCTCCTTCCCCCTCACAACGTGTGCTGCCCCTTTAGTTGCTGTTCAGAATTGTTTATTAATCTAATCTCCACACCCCATAGTCGTATGTATAGTATATAGTATATATACATACACGCGCGATAAGGCGTCGCTCGTCATCCGTCTCTGTTGCTCCCACTCAGAGACCCGATCTTGGCGGGTATATAAACCGGTGCCTCGCTCAGTCAGAAATCAGAAAGCAACAAGTGAGCGAGCTAACCACAGCCAGTTGACAGCTAACAAGTAAAAAGCAAGTGCTATTTCCAAGTACCAATCTTCCAAGAGATCCGTCAAGATGCGTTTGGGACAGACTGTACCTAACTTCAAGGCCGAGACCACCAAGGGTCCCATCAACTTCCACGAGTGGCAGGGCAACCAGTAAGTAGACCTCATAGAAACCCTCTTAGTGCCTATGGGCTCATCCAATCCCTCTCCTCCGATCCGCAGGTGGGTGGTGCTCTTCTCGCACCCCGCTGACTTTACACCCGTGTGCACCACTGAGCTGGGCAGGATCGCCGTCCACCAGCCGGAGTTTGCCAAGCGGAACACCAAGTGCCTGGCGCACTCCGTGGACGCCCTCAACTCCCACGTTGACTGGGTGAACGACATCAAGAGCTACTGCCTGGACATTCCCGGGGACTTCCCCTATCCAATCATCGCTGACCCCACCAGGGACCTGGCCGTTAAGCTGGGCATGCTCGATGAGGAGCAGAAACGTGACCCGGAGGTGGGCAAGACCATCCGTGCGCTGTTCATCATCAGCCCTGACCACAAGGTGCGCCTCTCCATATTCTACCCCATGTCCACGGGACGCAATGTTGAGTAAGTGCATCTCTCTCTTTGAAATATCTTATTCCTTGCTCATGACTCTTATTATCTACAGTGAGATCCTGAGGACCATCGACTCGCTGCAGCTGACTGATCGTCTCCAGGTTGTGGCCACTCCCGCCAACTGGACTGTAAGTTTACCATTAACTTCATCTGATTGATTCTTTACTAAATGTGATTTTTATATAGCCTGGAACCAAGGTCATGATCCTACCCACCGTCACCGATGAAGAGGCCCACAAACTATTCCCCAAGGGCTTCGACAAGGTCTCCATGCCCTCAGGGGTTAACTACGTTCGCACCACAGAGAACTATTAGAGGTTTTGTTTTGAATTGCATCTATAATTTCTCCATTATCATTCCGTTTGTGCCATACAATTTTAATACTTTATAATAAAGAGTGTATTATCCAAAACTATTATGTGACTGTAGTGAAATGCATTTATTGCTATATAGCTATATATATATCTGTTTATATGCATATGTGTATGTATATTATTTTATACACCTGACAACAGCGACGTTCTTATATGTCTGTCAAAACAAACGTTTTCCTTGTTTACTTTCCTTAGTAATATAAAATCAGAAATACAATAATAACAAATGAATCTCAATGCACCTGGAAGTGTAAATTCAAGGTTAAACAAACCTTAGTAAAGGTTAATTTATTTATGAATTCAAGATTTTGTGTATATATTATGATATGATAGTATTTAACATTTTACACAGGTAAATTTGTGTCTTAAATACATAATAAAAAAAATATATACTTTGTAGAATTTTAAATTAATATTTTATTAAATTTTAATACGTTTAAACAAATGAGTAGTTACTCCGAAATTATTTCTTAAATTGTGCTTTTAGTGAAACAATGAACCAGGAAATGTGTCTTCGATAAAAAGCTATATTTTCGGAATGCTTCTAAAAAATAATATAGTCCTTAAGAAGTTACTATTAAATTATTAATAAAAATAATAATGCTTAACTTAAAAAGCTTTTGTTTAATAGTCAAAAAAGTATATCGAGACTCTAAACCAAGCATTAAATCTATGATAAATGCGACATTTGCTATTTGAAGCGATGTTTCTATGTTTTCGAACAGTTTTGTAAAGATACAAAGATACATAATACGTAAAGATATGTAAGATACAAGTATGATGTAAGTAAAATGTAAAACCTTGTAGAATTAGTGAATATGTCAAATGTTGTAACAAAAAATCTTTAAAATATTTGTTGTTTGAATTTTTATTTCCTTTTATTTACCAGTTTTTAAAGCAGGCTAATTGAGAAGTTTAAAAACTGAATTAAAAATTATTTTTGCTTACAAAATGTGATTAAATGTTTCCCCGAAGGGTTACAAAAAGGTGTTTCCAATGTGACAATGATTTGACATTTTTCAACGGAAATTTGAATTTTTGAATTCCGCGTTTCTTTGGCAGGACTTGAGCTATTCCCGGCACTTTGTCATTACTTTTCCTGCCACTCATTGTCAATAAGTTCAATATTGGACAGAGGGAGAGGTCCTCATCTCAACTAACTCACGTCCCGTGACCCTCGTAGTCCTCGACGAAGTAATGAACCCGGCTTCGCTCCGGCAATATTTTACGTGTAACATTCAATTACGAGGCAGACGGGCAAATAATATGCTGCGGTGGCATCGCTATCGCCTCTGAGGATAAGGAATCCTTTGTCTGCTCACTAAAAATGCCGTTAATATATATATATATTCTCCTTGCGGGGGAGTGCAATTATTTGGAACATCATCGTGTGTATGACTCTCGACATCCGCAGCACGTCGGCGACGCACCAACGTCAATGACTGACAGTTTATTTAATAGAAAAACCCCATCTCTACGTGTGTGTGTGTGTGCTGTTTTGCGTTTGTTTTCCAAATAGTTTTTCTTCCCCGCCCCCCAGCCTGTGGAAAGCGCGAATAGCATTGACAAATTGTGTGGAAAATATGCATAATAAATGAAGCCACGCACCGTGAACTTTTGCAGTTATTAAGAGCAGGAAGGGTGTATGCATTGAGGAGTCCTTTTAAAGGACTCACCGTGTGCGGATTATTTAAGCTATTTAAAATATTTACCTATTTTATTTTATTTTTGAAAAGTAATTAAAGTCATTAAAGCTTGTGAGTATTTAAGAAGTTTGTATAGTTTTCTAATCATTCTAAGGAAGTTCTTTTATTCAAGTTGATAAAAATCTATTTGATAATTATTCATGAAAGAACTAAAACCCTACCCATTTCAATTATTTTTCTCTCTATTTAATATGTATAATCTATAGTATATATATTCCTTCCACCAATTGCATATGCATTCCTCTCCTTATTGAACATTTATTGCTGTCTGTCTCACATCCCAGTTCCCAGTTCGATGATATTGAAATTTCCAGCTTGGCCAATGCTCCATATGGCCAGGCCACATTAAAAGCAAGCCAAGAGCAAACTACGCATAGCAAAAAACAGCTTCACAAAGATGCCAAGGGGCAACAGAAACAAAAAGAGGATATATACGTATATTATATATATAAAGGGAATCTAATAAAAATCCACTTTGTGCAAGTATGAAAAATGAACGATGAATTGCATTATAAATGCAAAAATATTGTCGGAAGCGGGATGAAAGCGCGCTCTGGCAGCACGACACCAACCAAAGCTGGACAAGCGCCTCGGAAAATCTGATCAAAATTATTGAGGCGCACGGAATGAGGGGGGAGGCGGGAGAGTGCGAGGGTCCTGGAAGGAAAATGCAGCGGAACGTGGAGCTCCAGCAAAGTTTTTGCGGCGTCGCTAAGCTGTTGATAACGCCGATGATGACGACGCGATAAGCGTGGCGATAATGCTTGAATACCGCCCACCGCCATCAGGTGAATTAGGTGGAACAGTGATGATAAGATAAAGTGTCCTTGTACCTAGATACCTGTGAAATTAATGAAATAATAAAATAATAATAGCTTAAAAACCATAATTATTGCAGATTGTTTGTTAATGCAAGTTTGGGTCATATATTCCTGACTTTTGGCTTACATTTTCTTGTCGAAGTCAACATACATAAAGGATTTATAAATATCTAAATAAAAATATTTTAAAATTTGAATTTTGTTCTTCCTTTTTTTCAAGATTTTATTACCTATCTATAAAGGTATTACCTTTACCATCACCAGATGTGAACACCAATTGGCAAGGACAAAAGCCAGCACATCCTTGTGGCCATGGTCGTCGCTTGTCGTCGTCCTGTGCGTGCGCTGCATTGAGAAATTTCCTCGAAATGGCATTTATTTTCGGTTTAGCTGATGATGAGCCCAGGATAATGGCGGTGGGGAAAGCGGTCTGGCGGCAAGCTGCCAGGCAGACGAGCAACGCCGGGAATTTATAATTATTTGCCAGATGACTTTTCTGCTATATCTGGCCGCCAAGTCTGGCCATTGACATTGAGCTAGGCAAATCAGAAAAGCTGTTGATTGAGGAAATTGAAGGAAAGAACTATGAATTTATAGAAATTTCTATAGACCAAGATTATAACCACAGTTAAATAAATGCAAATTGAAAGCATATTTCTGTTAGTTAACTTATCTCAACTTCTCCCTGGGTAAACCTCTAGTTAATTTCAATAACCAATAACAAAAAGAAAAAAAAACAGCAATCCTCTCCATCACCTGGCCTCCCCAGAGTCCTTGCTTGCATCCGATTTGTTTATAAATACTGTGAAAAGTCGAGCTTAGTTCGGGTTGAGTTTTTATCCGTGAATCTATCGTTAGCAAGCAATCACAGGGGCCACCTCCTCCACTGGGGGAAGTCCCCATTTATCGCTCCGTTCCTCCGTTCCCCTCCTGCGACCCATGCCAATGCCATGCAATTATTTGTATAGGAATTTAAATTGAATGTCAGTCTGTTTGTTTCCATAACATACACACACTCAGAGTCGCAGTCTCAGTCGCAGTCGGAGTCAGAGTCGGAGTCGCACATTGCTGACAGTTTAAGGAACATGTGGAGGCATCCAGGACAAAACCAGGACCTGCTACCGGGTCCAGAACATTGTCGCACATAAGCAGTTGAGTTCAGTTTGTGCCTTGGTGCTTGGGCTCCTTGTCTGCTGTAAAATTCCAAATTTGTTTTATTTGATTTCTGCGCTGCGCTGCTCTCGCTCGTTTTCCGTTCCGTTCCGTTTTCCTTTTCCCAAGCAAGCCGCTGCCTGCTCCTGCTGCATATTTCCCTTTATGCAAAATATATGCTATAAATGCCCCCAGTAGGAGGAGCAGGAGGAGCAGGAGGAGAAGGAGGTGGCGCCTCCCTACCATCCTTTATTTGAATATCGTGTCACATGTCGCACGCAGTTAGGTGCCTGCGTTGTTATTGTAATTGTTGTAAATGTCGCCCAGCGACAATATCGCATTTGCATATTTCTGTGCCAACACAGACACTTGCATACACGTACATACATATATATAAAAATATATTTATATATATATAGCTACATATATACCCCCAGCGAGCTGTGTGCATTTTTACTTAATTTTATTTGTATTGGATTTGCGCCGCTGTCTCGGCAAAGTCCTGTGCTCGCTGTGCGCGCTCACGGAATTCTACAATTTGCACAATAAATTTTAATTCAATTTACTGTTAAACGCACACCGAGACGCAGCCACTAACTAAATGCGAAAGCGGAAGTGCGCATTCTGGCATGACAATCGTCCTCCGGCGAGCAGTGCAGCTGGAGATAACCCTGGGCAACAGAGGAGCCTGGCCATTGGTGGAATCTTCATACTACATAATCACATTTGATTGGAGCTAGGGAAATTCTTATAAGTATATCAATTTAGTTTCCTTAATTTTATAAATTAAATCCTAAGTAAAAATCTTCGAATTCCTGCTTAGCCAATCTCAACTGTAGCTAACTTTGGCCAAAACTGTCACAGGGCTAACGCCTTCCTTGGCCGGAGTTCGGAGATTGTTCACGAGCAACCTTTATCCTGCAGCCGCAGGACCAATCTGCCGTTAGTTGGCCAAGTTTATGCGCTTCGCAGGACCGCGAAGCTGGCCATAAGTTGCACTTATTATGATAATGGGCGCGCATGTGCAGCCATTTTGATTGCGGCTGCGGCAGCCATTGCCAAAAGCAGTTTCACTTCCTGTTAATGTCCTGCAAGTGAATCGAATGTGCGCAGCTGCAGTGGGACAAAAGGCAGCATTACTATCGGACTAAACTAATTTGAAATTATTGTCAAAAGTTGGAAACGATTTTCGTTGATTTTGTTTTCGTTTTTTTGTTGCTACTCTTGCTGATGTTGCTGTTGGCTGCCGCTGCTGACTTTTGGCAATGGAGCCAAAGCAGCCGGATCAGGGCCAGGCCCAAAAGCAGGACCCAGGTCCTGCGGCCCCCAATGAGCCCTTGAGCATAGCGTGAGTGTGTCCATGGGTTTTACGAAGTAAATTATTAATCCTTTTTATTTTAGGCAGTCCATGGCTTCATTTTACAAATATGATCCCTATGCAAAGCGAACCGTGGAGAAGCCCTTGACGTGAGTGTCGAATGTATGATATATTTGAGTACAATTTTAATACTTTAATCCTAGTAACTGTGACGCCTTCATCTCGCTGCTGAAGTGCGTAATTGGAACGGGTATTTTGGCAATGCCACTGGCCTTTCGCTGCTCGGGCATTGTAGTTGGCATTGTGATGTCTGCCCTTTTGATGGTCCTACTGACATACTGCATCCATTTGCTGGTCCGTAAGTGGCTCCCTCTTGAATCCTAAGCCACTCTTCAATCTGATCTCCTCTCGCTTCTAGATTTCCAGCATGACTGAGTGCTGTCGGAGGCGTCAGGTGCCGCAGGTCTCAATGCCGGAGGCTGTGAAGATCTCCTACGAGGAGGGTCCTCGTTGCGTGCAGTGCCTGGGTTCCGCTGCTGGCATTATGACCAGCTGTGTCCTGGTCATTGGTCAGTTCCTGCTGTGCTCCGTGTATTTGGTATTCGTGTCCAAGAACTACAAGGAGATTGGGGATTATCACTTTGGGAAGACCTACGAGGCGTATTACGTCATGTGCCTTTGTCTAGTGCTTCTGCCGCTCTTCCTGATCCGTCAACTTAAGTATCTGGTGCCTTTGAATATACTCTCGAACATCCTGTTGTATGTGGGCTTCATCCTGATCATGTATTACTTGTTCAGTGATCTGCCCAGCATCAACGATAGAGTCTTAGCTCAGCCACCTCTCGAATGGATCGAGTTTTTTGGCATTGCTGCCTTTTCCCTGACTGCCGTGGGTTCGGTAAGGATTTAGGGAACTTTAAAATGACTTTATACAAATAAAGTGATTACCTTTTTAGATGCTTGTCGTAGAGGCGAATATGGCGCATCCCCAAAACTATCTGGGCCTCTTTGGAGTCCTCAATCTGGCTGTATTCTTTATCCTGTTTTCGAATTTATTCTTCGGAATAATGGGTTACTGGCGATTCGGCGAGAGTGTTGAGGCCAGCGTCACACTCAATATTCCGCAGAGTGAAATGTAGGTAAAATAGTTTCTCATTTCATTATTAATTATCTTAATTTTTAAATCTTTATAGTTTATCACAGGTAATTAAGTTTTGCATAGCCACAGGGATCCTGCTCAGCTATCCCCTGCATGGCTTTGTGGTGATCACTGTGATCTTCTGCGACTACAGTCAGACTGAGGAGAAGAAAAAGCATCGAATTCTGATTGAGTACTTGGTTCGCATTATATTTCTGTTGTTAACAGGCAAGTTTCTTCCATTATTTATAAACTTTAGTAATTTGTTAGATTATTTCCATTTAGGAGTGGTGGCCATTGTCATGCCCAATTTGGCAGCTCTCACGGAGCTGGAGGGTGCCTTTTCGCTGAGCAATCTGAACTTGCTGTGTCCCGCCCTGATGGATATATTCCTGTGCTATGGTAAGGGCTATGGCCGCCTGAAATGGAGACTGATTCGCGACTTGGTGCTCATCCTGATCGGACTTATCTTTGGCGTGGTTGGCTGTGCGATGGCCATAAGGCAGCTGATACACGACATCCGGATGACTCTCAGCCAGATGTAGGAAGAGAGGCTTTCCCATTGGATTTCTCTTACTGTTGGGGTGTGTGTGTGTGCAATAAAATCGGATTTTCCAAGTTGTCCGCCTTTGGGTCCTTGTTGTTGCATTTAAGGACCAAATATTTGGCTCCATGTTCGGTGGCTTTTAATTAATTGCCAGCCAAGTGTTTGCCCGCTGTTGGCTTATCCCCCATTAAGTCGGTTGTCTAAGCTCCTGTTCGTCCGCTTCCTGTTTGGCCAACGTGGCGTATACTCGATGTGCGCTCTACTCGGGCATACATCAAGTATACGCCCCGTTTAATTAGCTAACCCACCGCCACCGCCGTCGCCGATCATTTAATGCGAAGCCTTCGACTCGAAGGGGGAGCTGTAATCAAATGCAGGCAGGACCACAGGTCCCCGGATTCGTTGGCCAGGGTTTGGGAGGATTTTAAAATTGAATTCCCTGCCTCAATGGAGCGCAAATACAAAAGGCAAAGTTGCCTAGCTGCCGCACAATAAACTAAAAGACAAATACACAAATACAAATTCGGAGCCAAGAAGAAGTACAATCTCTGCTGGTCCTGGGAGAAGCCAAGTCCTTCCTTCTGCGCGTCCCGCTGTCCTGCTGTCCTGCAACTCCTGCAAATATATAAATAGGCACAGGAAAAGCAACTGCCGACGACGGCGACTGTTGACTGCGCCAGTGTAAATAGCACGGCCGGCGAAATACAATAAAAAAACAAACAAAATAAATACAAAAAAAAATAGTCAGCAGGAGTCGGTAGGAGGCTGGGGCTGAGACTGAGGCTGAGCTCCTCAAGGAACTGCACGAAGGACAAGGAAGACCACTACTGCAGCAAACACACACAAAACACAATTTCCATTCTTCAAATAGAAATACACACAAAAAACAAACCGAGAATAAAACGTTGCGACTGCCAGCGACAGCAGTCAGGAGGAGGATGCGAGGAGCACCAGGAGGAGGCACGGGAGGCACGGGTATCCTGGGGCATGATTTTTGCAGACATGTTGCTTAAAACTTAATTTAGAGCGCCGCTTGCATTGGGCCCCCAAAATGCGGCCCGAAACCGAAAAGCAAATCAACGGAAAATAAAATAAGAAAAGAAACACGAAATGAGATCAGGCTGGCAGCAGGAACAAGCTGAAATGAAAAAAAAAACTCTAAGGAAAAGCTCACATAGAAAATTCGCCAGCGGCGGCAGCTTCAACTAATTTTCGTATATAATTTCGTGGGCCCCAGACAGGAAATGCTGGGGGAAAATCCCTGGCAGAGTGGGGCTCCAGCTGGAGCCGTTTTCTTGCCTAGTTGTCAGGACAGCATCATGTCAGTGTCATTATCAAACAATTCGCTGCGAATTTGCAGAGCCCAGGGAAGAGCTGTGATCCAGCCAGCCACCAAGTCCCACATGCTTTCTGGCTAAAAATGTCGCTGCCCCTTTTCCTTGCGGTCTCAGACAATGCGTGCCACAACTTCATTCCCGACTGTCTCTCTCCGTGTCTCGGCTGTCACATGTCGGGAGTCAGGAGTCCGGAGTCCGGAGTCCGGAGTCCGGAGTACGGAGCCGGGCTGTCCACAGTCGCAGCAGAGAGTCCCGTCAGGCCAAGCTCTCAAATTGAAAAAATTCCTATTTTAATACAATTATTTGTAGGCTAAAAAGAAGAGGACGACGATGCAGACAAGATGCAGAAGGATATTCGTATGTGTCTAAGAAAAGAAATATGAGGGAAATACTTTAGAAGAATTACATAATTGAAGAAGGTTTATATATGCATTTTGAAACAAAGTCAAAATTCCCAATATAAGAATTATATAATGAATTGTAGTTTAAATACTGTTTGTAGGGGGGCGATCCTGCCGCTGAAGATCCTGTTTTGTCAAATGTAGCCCAATGGAAATTCCCACGTCGCAAGCGAAGGTGAAAAAGTAAAAGACGGGGGCGTCGTGGGCAAATCAAATGGTCAGCTTTATTGCGCTGCATACATAAGACTAACTCTAGCTTAAATGTAAGGGCCGCGCTCCCGACCGATAAGCTACGCTTAACAGTGCGAGAGCGGGCCCGAGAAGTGGAGCGCGAACAAGCCGTCCCTCAGCTCGCTTAGCAGCGAGCGAAGCTCGGGAATTCGGGAGCGGGCGTTCGCGAACATCGAAGAGTGGGCGCGGGAGCGCTTAGACTAGCCCGATAAGCAGTGCTCGAAGAGCCGACTTGCGGGAGTGCAAGAGCGGCCAAGGCTTTGGAGGCTCGGTGGACAGAGGCGGCGCCGCGGCCGCCGCGAAGGGCCTTCTGACGTGAACATTCTCCCCCCCTTGCAACTACTCGGGTTGCAACATATTCGTCCTGTATAACTGCCGCGTTCTGCAGGGGGTCCTGGCTAGCGGCGGAAATTGCCTATGCGCACCGGACTGGAGCGGTGGACGGAGGCCGTGGAGTGGCTGAGGAGGGGCGGGGAGAGGCGCAGGATCCTAGAGGTGAACGTCGGCGTCGGAAGCGGATGAAGCTCGGTGGCAACCTCGGAATCGGTTGGATTGGACCTCTGATCAGAGCGTTCGCGTGATGCGAAGCGGTGGCATCTTCTCGAAGCGGACTGGAAAAAAAGTATCATTTAGAAGAGCGGTCAGTAAATAAGCACGGAGTCATCCGATGCTGCGATCGGGGTGCGGGAACTGGACTTCCCGGCATATGCAGGAGCGTGTGGTGATGCTGATTGCACGTCTTGCATCGGTCACCACTGCGGCACTTGCCTTGGGAATGTTCGTGGGCCAAACAGTTCGAACAGTAGCGGTTGGTGGACACCGCGCTGAGCCTCTTCTCAGCACTAAGCCTAAGGAACTTGTGGCATTTTCGAAGCGGATGGACTCCGCTGCAGACTCGGCATGGGTAGGATAAAATACCTCGGGAACGTCTGCTCTTTATGTCGTAGGGTACCCAGCAATTTAAGGCGTTGGAAGAAGTGATTCGCGTGGAGAACGCGGATATCCTTTGGATCGGTGCGGTTACTGGGCTGGAAGGTTCAGGAGCAATCTGAATACTGGAGGAACAGCTTCTGGGATGCAGCAGGGTGTGATGCCGTTTGCGGCATGTACGGCAGGAGTGGGCACTGGGGCAATCCCGCTGCTGATGGCCTCGTGCCAAACAATTCAAGCAGAGTTGCTTTCTTCGGATGATATTTGACCTCTCGACTACGGTCATTTGAAGGAAACGGGGACATCTTCGCAGGGGATGGTTTTCCCTGGAACATAGGTCACACCTTCTGGGTCTGGGTGTTGGAGTCACTCTGAAGTCGGAAGAATGGAGCCGGGGCGCTGGGGCCCTCGGAGTCGACAACTCTGGCGGAAAATGCCTTGAGTTGGTAGGCGAAACGTCGTCGATGGCCTCCAGCGTACGATGGCGTTCGGTCAGAAACGCGTCTAGCTCCTTCCAAGTCGGAATTCTGTCTTTGTTGTGGATGGATTGTTCCCACAGAGAAAGGGTTACTTCGGGAAGCTTTGAGGAAACCATATACACCAAAAGACTATCCCAAGCCTCAACTTGAATGGAGGACATCTCTAGGGCGGTCAGGCAGCTTTGGATGGTGCCTTGCAGGTCTTTTAGCGCGACTCCCGATTCTTGAGGGACAGCCTGGATGTTGAAGAGGATTTTCAACTGGCTGTTGACCAACAACCGCCGGTTCTCGAAGCGGTCGGTGAGGCTTTGCCAAGCTGCGACGAACCCCTCATTGGTGAGCGGGGCTTTGGAAACAATGGCGTGCGCTTCGCCAGTTGTCTTGGATAGGAGGTGGAACAATTTCTCCACCGGGGTGAGACGCGAGTTGTGAATATAAACCGCCGTAAAAAGGTCTCTGAATGTGGGCCAGCGAAGATAGTCGCCCGCAAACACCTCGGTGTCTACCGGTGGTAAATGACAACCGGTGGAAGGGAGTGTGTGGGCGCTGCTGGAAGCCAGAGTAGACTGGGCCGCGCCCCGTTCTATTATCTCCTGCAGCTGGGCCACGCACCTGGAGTAGACGGAGTAGCAGTAGCTATACTTAGCTTCTAACACCGTTGAAGTGTCCGCGCCGTCGTCGGACACGGAGAGCAGTTCGGAGCAGCTCTCGTAACTCTTCTCCACCTTTTCCCACAAAGCCCGGATTTGGTCGCGACTCACCTTACACGTGGACGGAGAGGGCTGGGTGATTTCTGGGTCGCCTAGAGGTTGGATCTGTGCCTCAAATTGACTCACACGATCTGTCGAGGCAATAAACTTCCGAAACGCAATGCCGATGGCGGTTTGAGCCATTTTTGTGGTCGTCCGTGAGTGATGGAGCTGGGCTAGTATTTAAAACTGTTTGCTCTTGAGCGGACAGCAGTGGACTTTGCTTTAAGCGGAGAGGGTCGCGGAGATGCAGGCTGGGATCTTCCCAAACGAATTGACGGAATCGGCCGTAATTAAATTATTGGAATAATTTTAATCCGAAATTAAAAGTCTTTTGTATTTTAGAATATATAATATATTTCGGACGTGGAGGTTTGCTTATATTTTGCTCAGAAATTTGGGCACGAATTGTGGATGGATCCCGTAATAAATTAAATACGGATTTAGGAACGTATTGGTCGGAAGTATTTGTTGCCAACTTTATTTATCACGGATCCGAAATTGTCGAAATAAACCCTTGGCTTTTGTTTGAGAGACAACTCAATGGGATAAGCCGTCGGCAAAGCAGTGGTGAGTGGGAGACCCAAAGAACTTCAGGGCAACAACAACACAGCCGTTGCGCCGGTTAAATTGAAGACAATTAAACCCAAATAAAACACTCTCGTTTGAGTTTGAATTTGGCTGCTCAGCGCAGAATAGCGCGACGCTTGCCCAAGGTATGGATGTATGTGTGTAAATTGGTATTTCCTTGATATAAAGGAAAAATGGGATAAATAAAAATTCGGATAATTTAAAATCCTTGGTTTACGAAATTTCTCCAAAGTTGTAGGCGGCGGATTTTTGTCTCGCAGGCACTGTTCGGCTGTGGAATGTATAAGTGCAGGTGCTTGTAAACGCTCTAGGCACGAAGA